GCCGTGGGGGGCGGGGGGGGGTAGTAGGATCTGAACAGGATCTCTGCTCTAAATGAACTGGGCATAACTTTGGGTTGAGCACTAGGTTCAAAGGGGGTCCAGGGGGTTGTACTGGCCGCTTTTGATTATCGGGGGGGGGGGGGGGGTACAAATTTAATTGAAAAATAATGGTAGTTTCCCTTGAATTGTGCAATTTATCTTATCTTAAACTGTATCTGCACTAATTTAGGACAAGCGTTGAGCAATTTTCTCAGTTTCTACCAGCAACAAAACTTGTGGTAGGTGAAAATGATCATATTCACATAGTTGGTTATGGTGGTTCTAGAGGTGGTCCTTTGCTCTGCTGTAGTGACAACATGTAGTGTAAGATGTTCAGACTTCTGTCCGTCATGCATCCTGAATATGGGAGATATCATCAGGGCTGTCACAGATAATGATGATAAATGTATATTAATGCAAGACTTCAGGAAGAACACAAACACTTTAGCAATGAAACACATTTAGCATGTGTCTGTCAGTTGTAAATTGTAAATACCATGTTAGGTTAACAGTATGAATGAAACTCCATTATAATTACCGATGACTTTTTTCACTATGGACAAAGGGCCCAATGAAGCCACTTGGCTAAATATCGACCAGCTGCCATTGTGTCTTAGTCCGACACTGTGGCCCTCATACAGTCCGAGGTGCCTCAGAGCAAGATGGTACTGTATGCACCAGCCCAGGGCAGGTTTATCTGCATACTGAATCTCAAATATCACTGCTGATACTATCTGAACATTAAAAAAAATACTACTGTCTGTGGCAGATGACTCTAAGTAATTGTGTAAGCCGTCGTGTTCTCAGAATGCCAGAGATGCATCTGGTGTCTGTTCAGTTGTGAAGAGCTGGAACGCCAAGTGAAATGAATCATTTAAGTGTCACATACAATGTGTTGGGTGGTGCAGTGCGTAGTTCTGTCGGAGGCCTCATGCCTGCAGGGATAAGGGTTTGAATCCCAACTCCTCCACTGTGTGCTACGAGTTTGCCTATGACATGCAGTTAGGCTAATGGACAGCTGTAAATCACCATTAGTGTGAGTGTGTGCGTGTTCCCTGCCAAGTTCTGGCTTCTTATTCAGAGTGTATCGGTGTCTCATGCCTTGTGCTACCTGGGAGAGGCTCCAGGCCCTGTATTAGTTGGAAAATGATTATGTAATGTGTTAAAATTGAACAGATCAATCATAGATTAATCCTTAACTACCTTGGAAGCACTGCAGAATGATGACCGTCTAGAGAAAAAGCTGCATGCACGTCGAGTAAATCAGTCACTCCCAGACCTAGTCCAAGGACCTTGCAGTATGTGTTGATTTTGGGTCCATAGTTACCACATTATTTGTATCTACCTGTCAACAACCAGTGGTTTATTGGAGGGCGAAAAGAAGAGCCGCTATTGTTCATTTGAGCTGTTCTTAAGGACAAACATATAGCAGACTCTTTCGACGTTTAGACTTATCTGACGGGTCTGCAATAAAACCAGCTCCTCTGGTCACTCATCTATGATTTCAGAAACACTTCCGTAACTTATTGTCTGTGAAATTAAAAGATATGGCCCATTAGAGTGAGAACAAAAACACTGTATTATCGTATAGCGAGTAATTATAGTTTCACTCTAACCATTCAGGTATTTTCCACGGCAATGAATGAAACGGTATGAGTACAGAATTGCTTGTCACCGTAATAGAAGCAAAACCGTGAAACAAAAAATAAAATATGTAATGGTATATGAAATAAAACAGAACTGGAAAGGAAATTACGTCCACGTTATTTTACTGAAACAGACATGAAATGCATGCAGGACGTAGATGGTATTGTCCAGCAAAATCACGTGCCCTGTCAATGGGAAAATAACGATTTGGGAAGGTTTATGGATTTTTTGGGGTGTATAATCCGCTCTCTGCAAATCAGTACGCAGCAGTAACACGCCATCTGTTAGCTCGGAAGCTGTGACTCAAATATTGTTAAGATCGGCGAAAGAGATTCGAAGCGCTGGGCTGGTGGCGTCGGCGCCCCTCCGGAGCCTGTCGTCCGCTTCGATGGACTGAAGCTCTACTCTCTTCATCCACCAGAATCAAAGCTGAAGTCCGCAAATATGTGGGATCCCTCTTTTTTAAAAAAGTAAACCGGCCGCATTACACTTTCGCTGGCTGAATAATAAATAACCAGTGTGTCATTCGTGCGTGGTTTCGCGGGGAATTGTGCAAAAAAAATGATGAATTTGAGTGCAAGAAGCCGGGAGCAATAGAGGAGGAAACTGCATTTGCTTTTCAATTGATGGAACCTTTTGAATTTGGAAACGAAGGGGATTGAACGGTCAAGGGTTTAATTTGGCGTAATACCGGTGAGCAGTGCTGCACTTTTTTGTTTTGTTGTTCCTACTCGGCAGGCGGGAAATGTAACATTAACTCCGTTTTTTCAATTCGATTTCTTTTTCCAAACACTGTAACTGTTATTTAAAAAAATTATTGAGAATAGTTTTGCGTGCATGCGTACTGTATACGATTTGACTGGCAGCAAATATAAATGCCAGTATTTGTTATACAGCTCCGAAATAGCGCAGTCATACACCTGAATTTATATCTTAGTCATTGCTTGCATTTCTAGAATTTAGTTAATTTATCATTCTACACATTCGAGTCATTGTCATAACGTGGATTTTATCATTTGCACGGGGACGCGTTTCAAGCCCGGAGATACAGATAAACAACACAACCTTTAATGGCACTCAACATCTATTATTAATTTTGACAGATGGGAGCTGCCTTTTTTCACAGGTGATTCTCTTATATTTTATATACGTAGGCATAATACCAAATAGGGCATACTTAAACATCATTGTGTTACAGAAACACAATTCTGAAACCACTATATTTCCCAGATACAGATTTAAGTACTTTTGAAAATTCATAGTGTTAGTGATACGGTACTAACGCATAGGAGAACATCGAGAGACCATTTGATTAACTATATAATAGACGGTTGCTTAAAGTCAAATGCAGACTTACGACCCAATCAATTCAAAAGAATGTGAAATTTGCTTTAATTTTCATTGACCCGGTCTTTAAACCCTGCAAATCTACGAGTTCGGGCCGTACGTATCGTCCCACCGTGAAGTCCCTTCAAATCCTTCTGCTCGGAAAACGCGTTTCTTTAACGACTGACATACGGAAGCTTCCGTGGTAACTTTGTCTCCGGTGAGCCGCCGTAGAAATGGGAGAGAACATGTCGAAGAGGTTAAAGCTGGTGTCGGGCTCGGACTCGGAGATGGAGGAGCGCTCCTTCGTCAACCCATTCCCGGACTGTGATCAGGGGGTCCTCACATCCTCCAATTCGGCGACGGAGGATGACGCCAGCGAGCCTTTCGATGCAAATGGAAAGGTGAGAAACTTTGCGTTTGTTGTTATAATTGCATTGAAGTGTTTGTTTTGAAAATGTGCACTGGCAAGTTTCCTGCCAAGGCCGTTTATACCATTATTATATAGCTATAATAACACTATAAACAGCAATGAATAATATTGTTTTTGCGTTTGCAGGCAACCTCTATATTTTCCCCTTCAAATTAATTGAAGTATTGTGCTTAATGACGTTGATGACAAGTTAAAAGCTAATTTCTTTAATTTCCTTATGTAGGTCTCTGACACTTTCTAATTCCCCCTGCGTGCGTCTGTTACCAGCCCTCAGATGAATGATGTTTCGTAGGGACGTAACCGTCTGTCACAAGGTTGCATGTTTTAATAATTTTGGGAGTATTTCATAAATATTAGCCAGCTAATCCGTTTAATTGAGGACCACAGACTGTTCCCTTGTTTTGATTTTTGTCAAGCACCCTTTAGTTCTACCTTTATACTGTTGGAAGGTAACTAGCGTATGCACTACATCATGTAACTTTTGGGGCAGATCATTAAGTATTCAAAACAATTTGTTTCCATTCAGCTGAAAATGAGAAGCATATTATGTCATTTGTTGTTATGAGAAAAATAAACATCCTGGGTGTAATAAATGGAGCTGTAGTGTCCACCATTGTGTGGGATCAAGACACTGTTACTTTTGAAATCTGTCCAAATGTTTCACAAAAGATGCTTGGCTTTTTCTCATATTGATGAATTTTAATTAGGAGTGGAATTCATTTTTATGAAATGAGGACAAATTTGTTCATTTTAGTAACATGGCAGGGAACAGTAACTCATGTTGTGGCATAGTATGTTCTGACTTTTGTGATTCTCTTCTATTAGTGTTCATTGTTTTTGCATTGTTTGTTAATGTTAGTACTGAAACCATGAAAGTTTAGTGTTTGTTTGTTTGTAATTTAGGGAATTAAAGATCGCTGTCATGTTGTTGCACTCAGCTGTGCCGAACTTGTATAGATTTGTCATTCCACTGTGTAGCCAAGTGCTACAACCCACGTAACAGATTGCTCAAATATAGCCAAAGCCACAGCCTTTCATGCTGTGTGTATTTATCCCGTTCCATTGGCCAGACATGCTTGTCGTCTTACTGCCCACAAATACTCACATTTTCCCTTGTAATATAGAGTGGAATGGAATATCCTTTATTGTTGTCATCCACATACAATGAAACTCGGTAACTGTTCTCCACCAATACTATGAAACAGAATAAAAACATAAATACATATATAAAGAACAATAAATTGCAGTAGTGCAATCATATGATTAGAATTAGCAGTGTTGTATACATATAGCAATATGTGAAGATGAATTTTAGAATTAGGCTATTGTCCCCATATTTCGACCTGGATAAATCTCAGAAAGAAGGGGCAGCCAATTGAAAGGCTTCTGGAGGATTTATAGATCCTTCTGAACACTTGGTTTGCCAGTACAGAAGATCCAGAATCTAGTATGTAGGTTGTCTGTGGGGGCTGTGCTGTATAGGGGGTTAGTGTCAAATATTAGCCATCGCAGTTTGACAGATGTGATTATCCAAGGGCATAGGATGTAGGAACTGGGGGGTGGGAGGGGCTTGTACCCCCTAATATTTAATTTGGCTTTATTCATCCCCCCAAAAAAATAGACCTTTGCATTTAAATTAAGTTGTGTCCCTCCAGTATCAAATTCCATCCTATGCCCTTGTGGTTCTATATGGATGTTTTAAGATCAAACTCAATTGAACCCCGCCCCCCTGGAGTTCTAACATTCCTCACCTTTCAAATTACAAATAAAATCGATGGTTACTGTTTTTGAGGCTGGTGATGTCAAATGCGCTGGGAACTCTGGAGGTAATGAACGAAGGTTCATTTCCTGCTTGTGAAATTAAGTTCTCACGGCTACTGTGAGGTCTTGCATCAAATCTTCAGCTGATATTGCCCCTGGAAGGATCCAAAGTAGGGTAGGATGCGGAGTTTCAGCCTCATGTAAGCTCAGTGATCGAGGGCCGCTTCACTTTCAGGGCCTCAACAGGAATCGCCGTTGTGTTGGGAAGAGGAGTTTCTTCATAAAGCGTAAAAAAAACAAAAAAAAAAAAACATGTGCAGCTGCGGCTTCAAACTCTCCGCACTTGGGCCGGTGCTGAGGCAGGCGTGGGAGGAATCGCATTTCCACATCGCTGCAATATTCCTCTCATCTGAGGTGGAGTCCTGGATGAATCGGCGTATTCTGTCAGGATTCGGAGTTTAAGAAGTGCCACAGAAAACAGACAGAAAACGAGCAAACCTGAGGGACTGATGGAGGTGTGGAAGCTGATTGGCCGGGCACTGTTTAATTGGCGACACGCCCAAGTCACTGGGTCCATTGTTTGCCACTGCAGCCTAATGACAGAAATTGATGAGGGACACAGCACTGGATGGGCTGTCCTCTGATCTCCTTGGTGGAGTAACGAGGCTGCAGGGGCCAACTTCAATCGAGGCCTCGTGCTTGCAAGCTCATTCCCGCCAGCCAATTCTCGGGTCCCTTCAGACACGAGATTGGAGGTGTTTCTTCAAAGATCCAAGCTCCCTGTGAATCGACATGGTCTGGAGCCTCCCGCGACCTGTCACGCTTGAGCAGAGCTGCAAACCGCCCTCTTATTAGCTGGAAACCTGCTTTGCGTAGGCCGGTTGCCGCGGGCTGTTTTGTGATTCTAATGGTGTCGTCTGAAGGCTCCGAATATAGGAAATAGATGTAATTTACTCCATCCAAAAGCTCGTTGTGTTCAGAATGTGCTCTAAGGTTTTCTTTTCCCCCTCAAAGTTTAGTTCGAATCTATATGAGGATTTGGGCATCAATAGATAACAGATTAAAACAGAATAGTGAAACTACATGTATCCCCAAAGGGAAGGTCTCTTTTTGCCGATCTCATTTTGCTCTCCATGAGGTACACAGACACTTATACAGGTGTGAGGAAGCTTGGGGGTCACAGCGCAGGATCAGCCAGCATGCAGCACCCCTGGAGCTGGGGATTAAGGGCCTTTCTCAGGCACCTAATGGCGGCATTGGTCTCTTCACTCCAGGATTTGAACCAGCGGCCTTCCGATCATGGGCCCTACCCTTCCTGTATCCACAGATTTCTTTTTGTAAATAGGGGCTATTAACTAATGTTTTTTACCCTCTATGACTACATTCTTACAGAAAGTAATAGTTGGGGCCCTTTTTGGCTCTTGAACACCGTCTATTCCATGAGGCATAGATGTATTATTTATATATATATATATATATGTATGACCACTCTGTGTGGACAGTAACTGCTGTACTGAGTAGTTATTTTCTTTACTGTGGTGCTCTTCCTGTTAATGAGTCTGGCTGTTCTCCTCGGACCTTCGCTCATTAGCTGGGTCTTTTCACCCACAGAGCTGCTGCTCACTTTTTTGACCATAACGCCATTCTCCGTGATGCGGTAGAGTGTGAAAATCCCAGGAGGGTGACTGTGTGAGATGCTGGAAGCACCACGTGAGGCACCAGTAACTGACAACAGCTAACGACGTCTCTTAGATCAGGTTGATTAGTTGCTATAACATTTATCTGCAGAATAACAACCTCCTTTCTCTCCAGGGGTGTATACATGGGCGGGGCCACCGGGGCACTGGTCCCAGTTGAAAGCTGATTGGTCCCTGCAGTGCCCCCTCCCCTGTCACACCGATTCAAAACATATCATTGGCTAATGGTACAGTTGGCCCCTCTGAATGAATTATGGCCCATACTATACTCTCACCGTGAAAAATTCTAGAAACACTTTGACTTTTTTACGTGCTGCTGTTTGCAGGAGAAGGCTACTTGTGTTAACGAGCAATTAACATTTCACATTCACTGTATTTGGTAGAGCCTTTTGTCCAAAGCAACATCCAAAGTGAGGCAAATATCACATTACAAACGTATAGCTGTCAAGGAGTTTGACGAGGCATTAGTGCAGCTAGGCTGAGCGTCCAATGAATGCCCAGGTTCGAGTGTAAGCAGCCGGTATTGCTGGCCGATATTTAAACTTCATCAGTATTCAGAGTTAGCAGCACCAGCTCTAAAGACAAATACAGAAATAATTTTCCGTAGTGGAGGCCGAGGGATGCTGTCTGCTCATTAACCGCTTACAATCTCACTACGGTCTCCCGCTTTGCTGGTGCGCACCTGCCGGCATGATACGACGTAGCTGCTACACATTCATGAGATGTGCCCACAGCCCATGTCATCCCCCTGTCTGAGCACTTGTCCCTCAAGGTCTGTGCACGTCACATGATCCATCAGGTATTTGCCTTTTTAAACTCCTCGTGATTCTGACCAAAAGCCGCAGCGATCTTTGCCTTCTCTCCCACCTCCGATCTGTGACGTGATCCACTGTTTATGCATTAATTACTCGAGTGTGAAACCTGCCTGCTGACTTATGATGCAAAGACTTTGTTTGCTTTAATGAGAAACATATTGGCTGTGTGGAAATACAGATGTTTCACAGAACAATTTAGCTAATTACCACCTGCTACAAACCCCTGGCTTTCATCCTTTATTTCTACCCAATATTTACAGCAAATCTTCCGATTTAAAGGCACATAAATCATTCATTTAATTAAAAGCTCTTCTAAAATGTGCATGTAAGTGTGTAGAATTGAAGCTTTAACTGTGTGTGTGTGGCTTTCTGTAAAAGTTTTTCCAGCATTAACATAATTTCAGACCCCAGGCAGACATGACTGTGTTTATTTCATTGTTTAGCTGGCCTGTGCTCACAGTGAGCGGAATTTGATGAATCTCCGTGTGTTTTACTTAAGAGATTTTAGCTGATGTCTCCCGATTCCAGTATTTTGGGGAGGATATCTTATGGGGCAGTGGAGATCTCGTTGATAAATGGTATCGTCCCCATAGATAACAGTCTTGGTGAGATGTATTTTACTGGCTCACATTAGAGCCGTGTTCTCGCTACGGTCCCATAACTCGGAGGACAGTTGTGGAGGTGTATTCCTGTTTTCGGAGCCTCGTAATTGCGATTGTCCAGAGATATTGAAATCGAGTGACAGTGGGAATGTTGTAATAGCAGTGTGACTGTGTCGGAGGTCCTTATTAGTGTCATTCAGGAACACCATGGTAATATGTGTACTTCCAGGCACAATTAAGAATGAAGTTGGAGCGGTTGCTGAGTGAAGAGAGATGAATAAATTATTCATTTTGTTTTCGGAAATTAGCCGAACTCTTTTCCCCACTAATGGGGGAGTTTTGTTATGTGTGTGTCACTTATCAAAGCAGAGAAATTTGCACAGGCGTTTGATGGCAAACTTCAAATGCACGCTATTCTCTCATGATAATGAATGCTCTCTTACAGGCAATTTTTTTTCATCCTTGATCTACCATGTCATTTCCACCTTTCCAAGCTAAATGTCATTTATTCATTTATCGTTTTGTGAGTGTCCAGGTCTGTAACCTGCTGGTTGATCTGCTGGCACTGGAAGATTATGCTAAATACTGGTGTGGATGACAAGGGCAAATTTGTCATTTTTCCTTGAAAGGGGAACAAAGTGTATTCTGTGTATTGATCTATTTGTATTTAAAACTGTATTTAAATGAAGCTCTGCCTGTTTATGCTTACAATGTAGTTGATATCTTTGGTAACACTTTACTTAAAGCAATCATTAAACTGCATTATACATTCCATCATAATGCATTATTATGCACTCATGAAGTATTATAAACACAGCTATAAATATTTATAAAAAGGCATGACACATAGCCATGTTTATTATGCATAATGTATTATCTATGCAGATCTCGTCTGTAATGCACTATAGATACCTTCACCAGTGCAGTACAAAGCATCCTTAATTCTTATGCTGACCATTATAATACATTATATAGGTATCTGTAGTGCATTATAGATGAGATTCATAATGCATAATACACATGGCTATAATATGCTATGCCTTTTTATAAATATGGCTGTGTTTGTAATACTTTATTAATGCATTATAATCCATTATGAAGGTATGTATAATGCATTTATATGACTGCTTTAAGTAAAGTTTTGCTATATGATTTTATTTTATTGGATCTATAATAGTCAGTTTTTTTTCCCATTTTTTTGATTAGTCATGACAAGTACACACCTGTCACTCACTGCAGCATGTTCTGCAGATGTACCGTTTATTTTGGTAGCATGTAGTGGTGATCTTCCATAGCAGGATGTTCATGGCTGGCTCCTGGGTTAAAGGCCCTCCATGATGGTAGGAGAGATGCGGAATGTATCACTCTGATCCCGCGGCTGCCGGAGCAGGGATTTGATCAAACAAAGCTCAGCCTGTGTGCCCCCATGGTGTCAGGCGTGCCGGGGGGTGCCTGCTCTCAACTCCCTTTTGTTTCGGCGTGTTTTGATCAGACGTCCCTCAGGGCAGGCTGGGTAGCCTGTCAAAGGCGCTGCTGTATGATCTCGGCGGGTGCTGTAAGCTTCCCTTTGTTACCGTGAACTCCTTCGCTACCGTACCCTCGTGTTCCCAGCATCCTTTGTTCTCATAGCAGCCGGCAAATACCGGGCTCTCTGTTGTCCATTTTTCTCCAGTATTTTTTCTGTGTCTGTTTTGCCCCCTTTACTTGGTTTTTGTGGAACTACTACTATGACATCATTCGGGTTTCTGTCACAGCCAACCTGTGCTATCCCTGTGTGCTGTGAGGTGTTTATGCATGTAGTGAAAGGACCTGGGTGGGTCTCAGCAGGTTAGGATGCTGTGCCTGAGATTGGAAGGTCGCCGGTTCAAACTCCTGTGTTGGCTGAGTGATTTTCCTGTTGGGCCCCTGAGGAACCCCAATTTCTCCAGGGACTGGTTCACCCTGCTTTCTCAGTTGTATGCTGGTGGATGTTACCATGGGGTGTAGAAATGAGGGCTTTGGGTGTGGCCTGTGGTTCTGCTGTTGAACTCAAGGGTGACTCTGATAGTGGCCTGGCGATAGGCACTGGCTGGAGCACCCATAGAGATTCCTGGCGAACGGCAGAGACCGTCACTGAAAATGACTGAAACTGAGGTTTAGATATCTGAGGGGAACTATTTGGGGACGAAGCAGTGATGCATTGAGATTTCTGAGGGGGATGGATTGGAAGGTATCCACCATCATGTCTGTGCCATTATTGACTGGTGTGCCATCTTTTCCCCATAGATCAGCGAGACCTTCAACAAGAAGGTCCAGAACAAAATCAAGGATCTGCTGCAACAGATGGAGGAAGGCCTGAAAACCGCTGATCCACACGACTTCTCAGGCTACACTGGCTGGACGGGTCAGCTGGGGGCTGTGTGGTGCTCCGCTGTCTGTCTGTCTTTCTGTCTCTCTTGTGCTCTGCTGTCTGTCTGTCTTGTGCTCTGCTGCTTGTCTGTCTTTCTGTCTGTCTTGTGCTCTGCTGCCTGTTTGTCTGTCTTTCTGTCTGTCTTGTGCTCTGCTGCCTGTCTGTCTGTCTGTCTTGTGCTCTGCTGTCTGTCTGTCTTTCTGTCTGTCTTTCTGTCTGTCTTGTGCTCTGCTGCCTGTCTGTCTGTCTGTCTTGTGCTCTGCTGCCTGTCTGTCTTTCTGTCTGTCTTGTGCTCTGCTGCCTGTCTGTCTTTCTGTCTGTCTTGTGCTCTGCTGCCTGTATGTCTTTCTGTCTGTTTTGTGCTCTGCTGCCTGCCTGTCTGTCTTTCTGTCTGTCTTGTGCTCTGCTGTCTGTCTTGTGCTGTCTGTCTGTCTTGTGCTCTGCTGTCTGTCTTGTGCTCTGCTGTCTTTCTTGTGCTCTGCTGTCTTTCTGTCTTGTGCTCTGCTGTCTGTCTGTCTTGTGCTCTGCTGTCTGTCTCTGGATGGTGCTCTGCTGTCCATTTGTCTGTCTCTCTGATTCAGTATATAACACAGCGTATCTTCAGCTTAACATCAAACTTAGCATTAGTGTTTTTTCTTTAGTCTTCGTTTTGGAGGCTTTGAATGGTCCAGTAGAAGGATGGATATGGTTTGACTGGTGTTAATAATCTTAATGGTCTTATTGGTCCTGCCCTTCCCAACAGGGATCGCGCTTCTCTACCTCCAGCTCTATCGCCTCACTCAAGACTCGAGTCACCTGCAGAGGGCGCTGGACCACGTCAAGCGGACCCTGCGCAACCTGAATGGCCGACGGGTGACGTTCCTGTGCGGCGACGCCGGGCCACTCGCAGTGGGGGCCGTGGTGCACCACAAGCTGAACAACCGCACCGAGTCAGAGGACTGCATTGTCAAGTACGCCCCCCCTCCCATCCCTGTTCCCCCCCCAATTAAGCACTTAGCCTTTTGGGGGCGGCTTTCTCCGAGTGGTGTACTTAATTAGAGGGGCTGCTGGTTTCTGTGAATGAGCCGATGTCAGAGATGTGAATAATTCAGCGACATGCTTCCGCAGTCCTGGTATGAGGGTGAGGCGGGTGCAAATCATGAATAATATTATGCCTCTAATTAATGTTGTTGCGATTTAGTCTCCCGTTCTCAAGTAGCCATTTTCACAACATTTTGCGGAGATTAACGCTGCATTTTTTTTCCACTGGCACATTTATTTGACGCATTTTGATGCTTAGTAATTTAATCAACTATATTAAAACAAGAAATACTGGGCTGGGGGGGGGCTCTCCAGATCATCTCAAAGCATCTTGCCCATCTGGTTTTCCAGGGTTTTAATGTGGGGGTGTAACCTGAAGTAGGCTGTGAGGTGGGCTGATCGCCTGGTTCCCTCTTGCATCCCAGACACCCTCCTGAAACAGTTCTTTTTGCTAATAATTGCTAATGTTTGTTTTAGCACAATAAGAGTAACAATCGAACATACTGATGAGTTCAGGTGGTGTGTGTTATGGCATTCATTCTAGCATCAGTAATAACACTTAATAATATTACTATGATAATAATAGCAATAGCCGTAATAATAATAGGAATCGCATGTCACAGCTCCACCTGACTCTGTTCTCCTTATGTCTGTTTTTCTCTTATGTATATGCTGTTAATTATTATCACTGCATTAAAAGAAGCTTTAGCACTACTGAAATTGCCTTCTGCAAACAGTAGGGGGCGCGGTTGTTTAGGCTTCACACCGAGTGTAATCTTTGTGTTGTCAGATAAATGAGATAAATCATCTGTGGAAACCCGTCGTGTTTTTTCTGATGGATATTGACTGTAAGTCATTTTTCCTCAGTGTTACTGTGCATAAAATCAGAGTTTTCGTTTAATGATATGAATATAAAGTGTCTTAACCCGAAAGCAAGTTTAAAGTCAATTTCTGCTCCTGATGCCTTCTGGCAGTGAAAGTCGTTGTGAAATGCTTATACCTTTCAGCAGCTGTATGATTAAATAGCAGTTAAATTGTGCATTGAGTTGGTGGAGGCCTTCGTTAGTGTGATTCCTGAACAGCTCTTAAGACTTTCGGCAAGGCCCACATCTCTGTTCTCCCTCAGTTTTGCAGAATTGCCAATTTTTTTTCCTCTGGCACTTTGTGATGAAACTGCCTTGCTGTGGCAAAGCATTATGGGAAAGTGGCTGGCATTTGGGTAGAATGGCCACTCCTGTGCTGAATGGCAGTGATGGATCTTCATTGTCCTTACTGATGTTTATTTTTTTTGATCAGTCGGTGAGTGTTGGGAATGGCTGGTGAAGGGTTTACCTGTTGTATCTCATGTCCCATGTCCCTCCTGGTCCCAGGCTCCTTCAGCTCCAGCGCTCTGTCACCCTGGACTCGGACATCCCCGACGAGCTGCTCTACGGCCGTGCCGGGTACCTCTACGCCCTCCTCTATGTCAACAAAGAGATCGGCCCCAACACAGTGGAGGAGGCCGTCATCTCCAAGGTGACCGCTCCCTCCTGTTTGCAGGGCGGGTGTGGGTCGGGGTCAGTCGTCACCTTGGGGGCTCATTCTGCAACCTCCACCTCTGGAGTGCTTGAATGGGGGAGGGGGGCTGTCGTGGTGGCAAAGCCTATATTATATTATATTTCATTACAGGAGTCCATTGTGCAGCAGTGGTACCAGTATGGGGAGTGTGCTGCTGTGGATCACGCGTTTGTGTGTTATGTATATGTTACATTGTGGGGACTAAGTGTCCCCACAATGTGAAAAATTCTGTTATTTTGATGTAAGTGGGGACCATTTTTTTAGTCCTCACAAGGGGAAAACTCAGTTTAATAAGAATCTGTGACTGCAATCGAAAAACTAAAAATGTCAGAAGTATTGTATTTGTATTTGGTTACTTATGGTTAAGGTTAGGGCTGGGTGGGGGGTAAAGGTCATCATTGTTGGGATTAGGGTTTTGCTCATAGAAATGAATGGTCCCTACAAAGATATGAATACAAATGTGTGTGTGTTTGTGTCTGTGTGTGGATGGAGCCTGGTGCTTGAATTAAAGCCGGTTAGCGGTGGTGATGCCTTGTCTGTGTGTCCCTGGCCAGTGGCCGTCTTATATCTCTCCAGTCAGAGCGTGCCGGGCTTCCGCAGTCTGCTGTTTCAGTGTTTGGGAGCAGAGGAGGTGTCTCTGGCTATTAAAGCTGCTTGCCAAACATGGTGTAAACACTGACCTTATGCAGCGGGTGAAAAATCCTTGCAGATTCAGAATCCAACCTAGAAGCAGGAGGCTGTTAGATGCACCCTCTCCGACAGACTGTTTGATGGGCTCTTTCATCCACCTACACTGGCCTGCACCCAGCTCCCTGCCATTAACTCCACACCCAGCATTGCACCGTTCCACAAACATCTGATGCATTGTCATAGTCGGTTATGTCTACTGTTGACATTTATTTGTTTTTCTTTTTTATCGGTATTCCCTTTTTTGTGTCCCAGAATTGTCTTTTTAATTTTGCTGCACTGCATTGTGACATCGTGGCGATTTCAGCGGTCTGAGCGGGTTACTGACGGGTTCCTTGGCGGATCTTGCCCAGTCTGGTGTTGCCTTGATGACCGACGTCAGATCGGGTTGTATATCAGTGGTTACACGTGTAAGTCTTCATCAGACCTCTCCGACACCGCATTGACCGTGTGGCTAGTCAGGACTGCAGCCCCCAGTCACTCCAAATGTCACCAGCTTGCAGCAGCATGCTTGTCTAATGTGGTAAATTAATCACGTGGAACTCCATGTGGCGTCTGCAGTGAGCCCATTAGAAGGGCATTGGGTGTGGCAAGGGGGTCGGTGGTATTCATACAGGGTCGATTACCCATAATTCCTGGATTCAGTAGGACCCCAAAGAACCTGACTGTCTAGGTCTCATTCAGCCCCATTAAAGTATATTTACCTTGCGTGTAAGTACATGCGTACAGCCTGATTTGTCGATTAGCTATCACTACCACCAGGGGGTGCTGTGTAAACCGGGAAGGTGGTGTGAGATACCAGATGGGGGGGTGGGGTTTTACTGGGAGATTCGGCCTGCTGCAACGCATCCTTGCTGCCATGCAACATGCTCCTGCCCCCCGGCCCCCCGCCCCCCCGCCTTACCTTGTGATGCTGGCAAGCCGCTGCTCCTCCGTATCCAAATGGAGACGTCCTCGGCTTGGTTTGGTGTGGGGGGGCTGGCACTCATCATGAAAACGTGTCCCGCTTTGAATCCGTTCCCTCGTGGCAGGTGCTGACACTCCCGTCCCCTCCTGCTGGCATGGGCAGGAGTAATGCTGCGCGCCACAGGCTTGACAGGCGTGTGCGGTAGGCGGGTGAGCGTCCTCTGCTGGACGTCGTCGGGATTGCAGAAACGATCGATGAGTGGGTGGGCTGCTTTTGCACGTACATATAAATGACAAGTTGAGGGTCTAATTTGGTGTTTTGAGAGAGGCAGGTTTGGTACCGGTCCATTTATGTGTTTACATTAAATACATTTTCCAGTGTTTTTTTTTTCCCCTATGGAAGATTCTCTTCCCCTTCTGACCCTGTGCTGCTGGTTTTTCATCCTGTAGTTTTTGGATGCTTTTGATCTTGCTGCTCTATGCATATTAATTTCCCTTCTGGAATTAATGAAGTTTATCTGTCTGTTTATTTGTGCAGCCATTCATTCCGCTCTCTCTGTTGAAGAAGCGGCTGGATTCAGTCGGCCTTTGCGGAGAATAATGGGCGACTGCTGGTCGATGGCACTGTCTTAGGCTGCGTGTGGCTTCATTACACATTCTGCTGACGCCCCCGTTTCTCTGTGTCGGTCTCTCGCCTGCTTCTCATCCAGACGCTCAGGTTGCTGACGCTGGAGAACCGTGGTCAGGCTTGGGCTTGCGGTTCTTTATGTATGGCCCGTCTGGTGCGGGGAGGGGGATCAACACATCTCCCCCATGCCCATTTTGCATGAACCCCCCCCCCCCCATCCTCCACAGCTCCAGAAGAGAACATCCTTCTAATGCTGCAGAAGTTCAAACAAGGGCATAGGTTTGGTGGGGTCCAAATCAACCCCCAACACCCCGCCTCCCTGAACACACACAGTACTCCCACCATATCAGTATGGACATGTCCAGGTCCCTACCCAAATCCAAAGGTGCTGCTAGAGATTTTGGGCCCCATGAAAGTGTATTATATTTCATGCCAGATCAATCCAGTTATACTCCAATCCATTTTTTAGGGCCCCTGTTACTAAGGAGCCTTTGGAATCATCCGATTCCCCCACCTTTTATGGTGCCCCTGCCAAAATCTGCCTTGAGTTCATACCAGCCATCTGTTGGGACATCCTTAACTGAAGACAGTACTTCGGGTTAAACAGGAGGTGAAATCTGTCACGTTACTTGATTTACGGATCTTTCCCTGGTTGCAGGTTCGAGCACCAGGCGCAGTTTCTGTGGCATATGTTAAAAAGACTGTAATTGTGTGTGTGTGTGTGTGTGTGTGTGTGTGTGTGTGTGTGTGTGTGTGTGTGTGTGTGAATTGTGAGTATGTCAGGCCATCTGCAAAGCAATTAAAGCGCAGCCATTTACTTCTGTCGATAAGCTGGTCCAAACTGGTATTGATCCATGGATTTTTTTTTTCCTTGCCTGTCAGTCATCAAGCTGAAAAGCCCCCCCCCCTCCCACCTACAGTTAATTTTTAAATGCATGCAGTAATTGCTTGGCTCTCTAAATACACTTAATCATTTTGGTATAGATCAGCGTTTTCTAACCCTTCGCCATCCACAGCGAACGCTGCTTTTAATTAGACACGAGTTATTAACTGAAATGCCCATTTTAATTAATCCATCTGTCTTTGTGTTAGTTATTTGTGGCAGGCCTGTTTTAGCAAAGTAGTCTCGGAGATTAATATCAGTAAATTTAATTTTAGTGAATCCTGAAGTAAGATTTTATTTTATGGAGTAACGTTATGCTGCGGGTAGAAGTATATAGTGTAGTTCCTGGCGTAGTTCCTAGCACAGCTCCTGTCTACACCTTTAGTCATGATGCTCAAATCGTGTAGCTGGATGTGCTGTTTGGGTGGGTGTGACTTACGTAAGAGCGCTGCTAGACTAGACTGACATTATGGGATTCAAGCCCCGGATGATAATGGAGACCTTAAGCCCCTCCCACTGCCCCTTCCACAGCTGTCGACATTGGTGACTCATTGATGCTTTGGAGGTGATCCGTCATGTAAACCCCATCAGCAAGGAGACTCTAACATGGCAGTCATCAATACCTAAGCTCACCACAGTCTGGGGGTGGCAGTGATCTCCTAATGAGACCCTGCAAATTGATGGTTAACCCTTCGATCCAGTGGGGGATGAGCAGAATGTGGTCGAAGGGCATTAACTGTGTACTGATGCTGTTGTGATGATCATATGCATTAGCGAACCTGTTGACTGCTTTTGCAGTCCCAAATCTCACCCTTTGTCCGTCCACGTGTAGGGTAAATCACGCAGAGATCGTTAGTTCACGCATTTTTTTTTCTAGTGAATTGTAGTTTAAGTTGAACAGGATGACTGAAAGATTGCTACACTAGTGCTAGCTGTTTTAATACCTGGCTAGTCCTATGTTTCAACAGTAAGACCAGCTACTGCCTTATTTTAGTGCTGACACTAACTGTTCCTACATTTCAGCATTGGCACTAGCTATTTTAGCGTTAGCACCTGCTGTTCCTCTGTTTTAGCGTTAGCACTAGCTGTTCCTCTGTTTTTAGCGTTAGCACTAGCTGTTCCTCTGTTTTAGCGTTAGCACTAGCTGTTCCTCTGTTTTAGCGTTAGCACTAGCTGTTCCTCTGTTTTAGCGTTAGCACTAGCTGTTCCTATATTTCAGCATTTGTACCAGCTGTTGTAGTGTTAGCACCAGCTGTTGCTTTATTTTAGCGTTAGCACTAGCTGTTCCTCTGTTTTAGTGTCAGCACCAGCTGTTAGTATTGTACCAGTCAGCCTTTTGATGCTGGATGATCATGGTGTGATTTGGCCATGATGAGCCCCTTGAGAGGGACCACGGTGGGGGTGTGATAGCATATATGTGTAATCCTGCTGTCCACTGGTGCCTCTTGAGGTCGGCAGAATAATCACCCTGAGTGAAAATAAATGGTTGACCCTGTACAATGGATCCAACGATGACACTCTCACCTATGTGTGTAAAATTATTGTGCACCTATACTCATACAAATGCAGAATTAAGGTATCATCCTGAGCTCTGCATGTGAAAAGGTGAGATGAGGCCTGACACTTTGTCATAATTCAGCTTTCCTTAATATTGACAAGGTCCTCCGCCCATGTCCTAGATACCAATTGCAGTTGAGGCATTGCCCGTTGCTCCACCTGCTTTTCTCAGCCGGCCGCCTCATTGGTGTATACACCTGTCATTCCAGCAGGAGCGTACCTGAAGAGCTGGAAACGGACAATGCATTTGCTGGTGTTTACGTTTCTCCGGTGTTCCCAGTCTCCCTCACTGCCTGGTCTATCTGTGCGGTTGCTGGCATTGAGAGCAGCCTTCCTGCAGTCTGCTATTGGTTTGGGCTGGGGGGGGGGGGGGGGGCAGGGGATTATGGGAAACCCAGAAGTAGCTAATATCCTGTGCCAGTCGAAATAGGGTGAGACCACTATTCTTTTTCTGTGGGGGTGGGACACTTGTGAAATGGGGTGGAATGTGTGCTGTGACCCAGCTCCTTGAAGTTGGTGGGTATCTTACAGGGAGAGCAGTGACGCTCTCCAGCTAGATCACGGACACGGGGAGTACAGACAAGCACACTTTTCTGGAAACATATTAAAGGGACCCGCCGTTCAGTGAGTTTAAATGAGCTGCTTTTTGGAACTAGAATTACTGTGGTTTACCCATTTTCAGCACAGAACTTAAATCTCACATTTATGAAGTTTATAACTACCTTTAGCTAAAAAGCAGAGGAGCACCAGTGTGTGAATGTGTACTAAATCTGATTTAGATGTAAGGTAAAATAACTGACTTAAGCTTTAATGATGGAGATTAACTTTATTGGCCTTTAAACTGGTTGTGTGTGGCTCTGGACTGGCATCCCGTCCAGTGTGAACCCCGACCTTGTGCCCTGTGCTGTCACGCAGTCCCCTGTCCAGAGAAGCCTTGCAGCTGTCCATGGTGCTGGCAGTTCATCCGCACTCTGGTCTTATCTCACCCTAGGTGGTGGAGGCCATCCTGGAGTCGGGGAAGAGGCTGTCCACGGCAGAGAAGAAGACCGAGCGCTGCCCCCTGCTGTACGAATGGCACAGGAAGCAGTACGTGGGGGCGGCGCATGGCCTGGCAGGCATCTACTTCATGCTGATGCAGGTGAGAAGTGGGTGTGGGGACACACCTGGGGGTGTGGTTTGTGGGGGTGTGGCCATGCCTGGGGCTGTGGCCAGTGGGGGCAGCGACAGGTGAAGGGGTGTGGCCAGTGGGGGCAGCGACAGGTGAAGGGGTGTGGCCAGTGGAGGCAGCGACAGGTGAAGGGGTGTGGCCAGTGGGGGCAGCGACAGGTGAAGCGGTGTGGCCAGTGGGGGCGGCGACAGGTGAAGGGGTGTGGCCAGTGGGGGCGGCGACAGGTGAAGGGGTGTGGCCAGTGGGGGCGGCGACAGGTGAAGGGGTGTGGCCAGTGGGGGCAGCGACAGGTGAAGGGGTCTCGTTCGCATCATTCTGACATTGTGATCAGTCCTTAAATACTGGGAATATCTCCTCATATACAATTTACATCACTGTTCTTAATGGGACGCCTTATTTTTTTGTTTAATTTTTAATATATGCATAATGCTGCACTCTGATTTGTCAGATCATTTTTACACATTAGTTTAGCAAGTTGGATCATGGTCTGGAGCGTCAAGTGGCCCTAGATCAGTATTTTAAGGGATGGATCAGCTCTGCTGTTTGGCAGTAAACCAGATCTCCTTGCCTTTAAATGATGGAGAGCCCAATGCTCTTATTAAGCTCCTGTGCACCCAGCTTTCCAGTTTTGCCAGTGGGGTAGGGTTCTGCCAGCCCTCCCCCCATCCTGCTGGTGAGGTTCCCTGGGTCACTGCTGCGGAAAACCTGCGTGTAAATGGGTCAGCAAAAATGTGTGAATTTGTACTCGGGGATGAGATCTGGGTATTAACTTTAGATGTTCATTTTCATGCAACGTGTATAAACCCCCTGGGATGTATGTGCGTTTGTGATTGACATGTTTCTGAATGCGACGTGGCCCCAAACAGTTCAGGTATTGTTAAGGGGATTAGGGGGTGTGTTTCACTCAAATCAAATAAGCCAAACTGCCCGTGTTGGAAAGCAGGATGATTGCTGTTTTGTTTAGATAACCAATTCGCTGGTCTTGTGGGCACTGTGACAAACATCTGAATCTCTGCATGTCTGCGGAGTCCTGGACTTCATGTACATCATCACTTTGAGGAATCTGTTTCTCAAAGTATCTCAACACGGCTCTTTGAGCTCCAGGAGAATAGAAGCTGCTTCACTGCAGGCAATTGTGGAGAGAAGCATGAGTTTTTTGTGGTTAATGTTAGAGTATAGTTAAACAGAACAGAACCCAGGCTGCACTAGGACCCTGGAGGACCTGCAGAGCCTTTGTTTAGAACCTGGAGCCAGAGGCTTCCCAACACTGCCAGAAGAGCATCTGCTCCACTCAGTCAAGCAGGGAAACACGCTTCCTGTGTGGACAGCTGCAGCTCGGTAAACATCGGAGGCAGAGAGATGGGCGTGGCGCACGCTGTTTAGGACAGATGCAGGTGAGGGTCATTGGCGGCAAATCTGTGGCCTCCATTGTGTTCTGGAAAGAGCTGTACTGCATTTGGCCGGGAATGTTGTAGACCCTTTCTGATGATGGTGATGACTCGCGTGAGATCCTTTTCTTCGGCTCTCTGAAGTGCGTGATGTGTGATGTCGTCAGATGCTGAGCGGGCCGCAGTCTGCAGAATGCATTATTCACGAGGCTCTCTCTGCCCTGAACGCTTTCCTCGGAATCGATTCGGGCCTCTGTTTTGCTGTCTGGGATTCCCGATAACTGCCGTTTGAAGCGGGAGCTTTTCCACTGCACCTGGTATCCAGCGGGAGCTTGGAAAAATTGAGAATCCCCCCCCCCCCCCGCCGGAGCATTTCTGAATTGAGACTTGAAAGTTTGAGTACCGCGAAGATTTCGACTCGAACATGCCGGAGAATTCCGGACTATCGTAATGCCAGCCCAGCCCTCTGTACCATTTGCCGCTTTCGCTGTCCTCTAAATCCTTGCAGCTACGTAGCTCTGAGTGACTAACCTGGACAGTGTGCAGAAGGAGGGGAGCTTCAGACCCGCACCAAGGTGCGTCCAGGGACCAAAGGCCTCCCCCACATCTCAGCCTTTTTTCCCCACTCCTTTGACATCCTAACAGTAAGGTACCCCCCCCTCAACAGTAGTATGCCCCCTGTGAGACATGCTGATCTAACTTGACACAAAAAATCTCATTCATCCTCTCAAGCAGGAGAAGACTCAGAGTAAGTACAGTAACCCAGCTGGGGTTTTTGAGACCTGATCCTCTACTGCATCACACTCCTTGCATCTAATTCCACCATTTTATAATTCCCCCCCCCCCCCATTCATATGTTATTCTGTCCCAGTAATGCCCCAAAGGTGACCGAGCTGTAAACCTGGAAATGGTGTCCTGGCAGATGTTAACCAGTCCCTGGAGCAGTTAGGGTTAAGGGCCTTGCTCAAGAGCCTAATGGTGAAATTACTCTGCCAGTCACAGGACCTGAACCAGGGACCTTCTGATCCAAGTCATGGAGTCTTATCCCACTGAGCCCAACCCCGTCTTTGACGTATGATGTGTGACACGCACAGCTTGGGATAATCCTGTTTCCCCAGCGGAACCCTCAGCCTCTATCCCCAATGTGGCTCTGCATCACTGTGTCTAACTGAGCGAGCAGCTATCAACACCGACACCAACAAGGACATAACGATTCGTCAGACTGCCACTGGTGGGTCAGGAAGTTTGGCTGGCAGTGAGCCGGTCAGACACTGGTCGGCTTGGTAATAATAGGTCTGTCTGGGACAGGACTGGGGCGCTGGTGAACCTCAGCTGATGTCGGGCTTCGGGGACGTCCAAGGGGTGCCTGGGCTGGTCCCTGCGCGTCTCTGGCATTTACAAGGGACTGTGTTTTGATTATAGTTTCATCGATGATATACAGAATCACACATAAGTCTTCCTGTTGGTACAAGAGGTACTCCCTACCTCAATTCTGATCCCCGGTAATTTTTCCTCCAGATCGCTGTACGCTGGGATGATATATGGCCCTATTATTCAAATCACGGTCCTCGAGGTCCGAGCACTGCTGGTTTTCCAGCCTTCCTTTACCTGTGAGCCAGGCGTGAAGCCTCTGACCAATCAGAATCAGTAATTATTAAACTAACTACCTGGGAGAACTGAAAACAAGGCCTGGATTTGGAATCGAGGTCCAGATTTGAAGAACCCTGACATATGGTCAGCGTAAACGGTGGTGGCGGTCTGCACCATTCTGGAGTCTGAGCCCCTAGGAGACACCCCCCCCCACGCACTGATGTTTCTCTGCATCTTCACAGCCGGGGGCCAAGCTGAGCCAGGAAGTTCTGACGGAGCTGGTGAAGCCCAGTGTGGACTACGTGAGGCACAAGAAGTTCCGTTCTGGGAACTACCCGTCGTCGCTGAGCAACGAGACGGACCGGCTGGTGCACTGGTGCCACGGCAGCCCGGGGGTCATCCACATGCTCATCATGGCCCATAAGGTGAGTGTTTGCCGTGACTTCCCCCCCCCCAGGTCTGCTCACAGTTCCCTCGGTGGTTAAAAATAACCCTCCCGCCTCTCTGAGTAATGTGGCGAGGTCTCCGGCCCAGACACGATCGGTTACTCTCCGCAGAGCGGCCCAGACACGATCGGTGACTCTCCGCAGGCTGGGCTGCTCTCTAAACCCGTCCCCCTTATGGTAGATGCTCCAGGAAGATTTATGCGCCCGTCCGCATCCTGGCCCTCTCTGAATAAGACAAAAAAAAACACCATTTGTTTGTCTAAGACTTGGATCCTACACCTTAGCTTGTGCCCGGGAGATATTCTGGGGACCTACCTGTAGGGGGTGCCGTGGAGGTCCCTAGCTGACTGGGGACTGTTGACCAGCCACTGGGCATGAATGTTCCTGCCAGAGCAGCTGGAGTAACTGGGACAGGGAATTGGGGGCACACTAGTACCCATGTACCTGTTAATGGGCTCTCCAGGGTCATGACACGCGTCTGACCCAGAAGGCCTTGCTTCACATCGCGGTAATGAAAATAAGCTAACTGCCACTGATATTTACTCCGCCCTGTAACCCCTCCTCGTGCTCGCCTCATTTTAGCCCTTACGTGTGCACATTCATGGAGAGGACGACCTTCTGCGGTCACGTGCTGCCGCCCGTCCCAGTTGCGTCGACGGTTGTCCCTTTATTCTTTGTTGCACCAGAACCATTTAGAAGGCAGTAAGCCGCCATTGTCGGTGGAGATTGATGAGGAGCCCAACTGGCGCCCAGCTTTGGGTCTGATGTAATTTAGATGAAATGCCCGGAGGAACCTTATTAAACACAATGCTGTAGGTAAAGAAGTCTGGAACTGAGTATGAAATTCCCACTGCTGTCCATCGTAACCAGGCTGGTGTCCTTGAAGAAATGGGTGATCTGCAGTGACACCTGGTGGTGGAAGTGGGTATCGCCAGTCGACTTTAAAAATGCCGCGCTGCTCAATCGCATTCAGATGCCTGTTCAGTTGGGAGGAAACGTGGTTCTTTTTTTTTTTTCCTTCTGCTTCTTTAATGAGGTCACTTCGTGGCATCATCTGTCCTTTCGAATCCACTCTAACCAGTGTGCATGCTGCCGGTCCTCCCAGATAACTTCCCCGGTAAATGATGACTTGGAGCACCAAGGAAAGTGGAACGAATTTCATATTTTGAGAAAAATTTCTTTCAGACAGCTTGTTACGCTTTGCCAAATGACAAGGGGATTCAAATCCATTTACTGCCACCACATGTTTATTTTGTTGTTGCCTGAGATGAATAAGCCTGTAAAAAGATCCCTTTTAGGATTTATATCTACCACCTCCGCTTTGTGTATGTGTGCAGTTTGCCTGTTCTGCCTATTTTGCAATGGTTTCCTTCAGGTACTCCCTGTGTGTGTGTGTGTGTGTGTGTGTGTGTGTGTGCGAGAGGTGTGTGTGTGTGGCCTGGCGGTGGACTGGCATCCGGTCCAGAACATACCCCAGCCTTGTGTCCTGTGTTGCCTGGGATCAGCTCTAAGCTGTCTGTGACCCTGACCAGGATAAATGGTTAGAGGATGGGTGGATGGATGGATGGATGGATGGATGGGTGGATGGACGGACAGACAGATGTTAAATCTACACTCTGCCTGTCAGACTAGCTCATGTAGAAGGCTGTGGGTTCTTGTGGTTTTGCTTCATTTTGATGCTTTTCGCTTTTTTTCTTTTGGAGGGGAGAGATTGTCTTGTAGCCATTTGAGGGCTGGCTTAAAGTTCCTGTTTGCTCTCGGCCTGCTTTTATGATCATGGGTTTCTGGTACCCTCTTAGTCCAGTAGCCCTCATAGGCGGGCGGCAATATGAGGATTCAGATGGCGGTTATTCCAGTGAATGGCAGCTCTTTGGTATGGTGACATGTTTTGGGTTTGTAGAGGGGGGGGATCTTGTGAGTATGGTTACACACTGCTTACAGTCAGAGATGTTTAAGGTGTACTAGAGGGCACTAGGTAATCCATCTGACTCACCTGTCCCGCTGAGATTGAAACAAGAAACTGTCCATTTTTTATTTTTTGAGCCAGTTGAAGGGCTTGGTAATTAGTAATGTTCAGAGTTGTTCCAGACAAACTAGTAACGGGTCAGGTGTCTGGTCTTCCCATTTCTGTTGAAATTGGTTTGATAGTTTCGGTCTTAACTAGGCAGGGCTGCCCTGTGGATATAGGCGTGAATCTGCTCTCCATCAGCATGTAAGCGTGCATCAAATGTGAGGAGCTTTGTAGAACTTGGACCTCTGCTTCGTTCTGATGGGCTACATGGGTAAAAAGGTCATGGATTTTTAATAGCACCCTATATAAAAGTATGTGTGAGAGGAAAGTGACTGGTGAGCAGGCCTCTGCGGTGCTGCCTTCCCTTCCCATCCCTCCATCTTTGCCAAGGCTGAATGCCAGCTTGTTTGTGGTCCATTTCCACGTTGTGTGTTTTTGCTAAACTCTCCTGTAGCCCTGATAATGAGCACAGAAGTTGCCCTTTTCTAGAAGTCCAGCCAGGTTAATTAGAGTCTGGTGTCCACCCCCCCCCCCCCCCCCCCCATGACCCTGCCCCCAGGTGTTTAAGGAGGAGAAGTATCTGAAGGACGCAGTGGAGTGCGGTGAGCTCATCTGGCAGCGGGGTCTGCTTCGTAAGGGCTACGGCATCTGCCATGGCACGGCGGGCAATGGCTACGCCTTCCTCTCCCTCTACCACCTGACGCAGGAGAAGAAGTATCTCTACCGAGCCTGCAAGGTATGGCTGCCCCCCTCTGGCTGGGGGCTGAACTGCAGCCCTTCTCGGGTCACCTGAGGACAGGATGCTGGTCCATTTTTATGGGCTTGTGTCCATGTAAATTGCCTAGATGGTTTTATAGTACAGTAATGTTTTGGTCAACGAACAGACCACATATACAAAAGTGGTCCCATGAGATTATAATGGAGCTAAAATGTTCCCATCACTTAGTGACATTGTAGCTGTTGTAACGCTGCATTACATAATTTATTACTCGCATGTTTGTGGTGATGCTGGTGTAAACAAACCTACTGCTCTGCCAGGCATGTAAAATTACAGCGCATACAATAATACAGAGCAAGCATTACTTGACAGTGATAACTATGTGAGCTGTTAATATATGTACCACATTGTTCATTTGTTGTTATTTTAGAATGTACTCTTTGTACTGTAGCCTAGGTGTGTAGCATGCTATTCCTTCTCGGTTTGTGTACTCCATCATGTTCACACATTGCCTAACTACGCATTTCTCAGAAGGTATTCCTGTCGTTAAGTGACACGTGACTGTAAATTTATATTATTTGAAAGCTTTTTATTGTGGGGGAATAGAAGTATAGTTCCCTTTTATGATGGAACCAACAATTAATTGGAACAAGCAGAAAAATCAAACAAAGGATAGATAGCATGAAAGGATGTCTGTCTATCGGTAGGCAGGTAGGTAGATTTCACTGATTGATTTTGGAAAGGAAGAATTAAAACAGAGAATGGGGTGCATGTTATTCTGCAATTCTACAGTTACTCACAGCATACACCTAGCATGTACTTAATACTCCTAATGAACAGCACTTGCATAACACATGAAGAGGAGGTCGCTGCTAATGAGAGAGACCACCTTTGGGTACACTCTCCCAGGTGTGTCGTCATTGGGTCACAGACTGGTTGAAATATAATGAACGATATTCAATGGACATTATTAGATTAAGTGTTGAGTGTTGGATGGGGGTGAGATGCCCCGGGGTTAAATCCCCCCACAGCTGCCATGTGGGGGGGGCAGGGATGTCCTGGTAACAAGCAGGTAGACAGAGGTTCCCCCCTCCCTCATCTGCTGAATATTTCATAACTACATTACCTGCAGAATTCCTGACTGCCACTGCATGTGGTGAATAGTGAGATTTGATATAGAGAGAACATCTCCGGTATCCCAGCATGCTCCTTTTCTGTTTTGTACCCTGAGGTAGTTTTTTTGGGGCTTCGAAGAGGCGCTGGTGTTCAGATATCTACATGCGTTGAGTCTGTGACCTCAGTTTTGTTCGGTGAGGGGCAGGGGTGACATACACTGTGGCGGACAGCCATTTAAGACACACAGGAGACGCAGTCACTGAAGAAACAGTTCATTAGCAGCTAACCGTGTTCAGGTCTGCATGTCGCAGAGCTGCGCTCGCGGGGTGTCAGCCTGTGGCTTCCAGCTGCAGCCGGAGATCAGCTGAGCATGGTGGTGAAGTGGGCGGCTGCGTCAAACCAGCATGGCCTGGCGATGACGCTGAACTCCGGGGCGGGCAACTCCCATAACGTCTAAGTGTTTGTTTTCGCCTTGTTCCAGTTTGCCGAGTGGTGCTTGGGGTACGGGACACACGGATGCCGCATACCGGACAGACCGTACTCCCTGTTTGAAGGTAATACACCTAATCCTCTCCCTGGCATCTCCTGAGCGTCACATGGGCTCTCAGTGTCTTTAACGAGCTCCCTCTCCACCGCCTGGGTGTCTGACGTAACCGCTCCTGCCAGTTCGCTGGAATCCATTAATTTCACCATCTTCCAGTTCCTGGAACCTGAGCTGCTGGCCAAGTGTCCATATTACATGCGTCTAGCAGCTGGGTTCTGTCTCCGGTAGCTCAGCCGGGTAGCTGGTAGTCATATCACCACTGGAACCTTGAACAAGGTCCTTAACCCCAATTTCTTCAGGGGTCCCAAATGCCTGGTAACAGGCTGCCGCACACATCAAGAGCAGAATCCCGCGTGTGATAAGTTACGCCTCTGCTGTCCGGCCAGAACGCCTTGCACAGGCTAACGCTGTATCGCCGAGGCGTGGCAAAGGCGAGGGCTTCGATTGGAGGAGCCAGTTTATCGCAAAGTGCATTGAGGGAAGAAATATGTAGAAGACGGATGAGAGCAGCTGGCAGAGCTTCTTGTCGGTCTTTGTGGCCACTTCCTGTGACCCCCCCCACCCCAGGTCATGTGTAGCCAGTAGCATCTAATGCCCTCCAAACCCAATGAGGTATAATCTGACCATTTATTGACCATTGAAATCTCTTCTTGGTTACTGTACTCACCTGACTGTACTCTCTGTCCTCCCCCCCTCTTTCAGGTATGGCGGGGGCTATCCACTATCTTTCTGATGTGATCGAGCCTGAAACTTCCTGCTTCCCGGCCTTTCAACTTTGATCTCTGCTTTTGGGTGGATCTCGGACTACCTGGGTTGGGATGACTCAGTGCCCCGGCGTTGACCCCCCCCCCCAGCCCATGCATGCTTTTCTTGTTCCCCCCCCCCCCACCCCACCAGTTGCCCTTCCCTCATATGAGCGGCCGCTCTCACTGACACGCGCAGTCAGAACGCTCAAACTCGGTTTGTGCTGAAATATGTGGTGTTTTTTTTCTGTCCTTTTTTATATTCGTGTCACGAATGAAGCTGAAATCACCGCCTTTATAAACGAACCTTTTCCTTTTCGAGCGACATGCTCCCCCCATATTTTAAAACCGGATTCATTGTATGATTAACTCGCGCCATGTTTCTGCTCTAAATGAATGTCGCTCCACTGTTTGCGTTTACTTCCTGTTCTGTTCACATGATACATGCCATCGAAGCCTTTCCTCACGATAGATTAAACACTGGATCAGTGTAACCATGATGTGAGTTACTGCGTCTCTCTAAATAGTTTCCCATTCCCACTGGTGCCATTTTTCCGGATTGATCCAGTGAAGCAGGTGCTTTGTTTGGGGGCGTCAGCGTGTGGCGTGCAAGCTGCCTGCCTCTCGTTTCGGAGATGGATTGAAACGGCGGCGGCATAGTTATAATTGGATTTATTAAAAAAAAAAAAAAAAAAGGAATGTCCAATGTTCAAATGGCAGCTTTTTGCAGTGTGTGCAGAACTGCTGCAGTGCCGGCTGGGCCGCGTGACGGACCGTGGCTCGTGCCGCCTCCCGCGATCGGTTGAAATCATCCGTCACGGGTTAGCCCCCCCCCTCAGCCTCGTGCGGTACTTGCGTCCTGCTTTCTCAGTCCATAGGAGATATGAAGAAACAAGCATTTCGCATTAGGGTGCCTTTTTGCCATCCAATCCCTCGTCTCTGTTTATATACAAGTGTGAAAATCGCAAGTCCGGGGTCTTTCGAAATCTGGAGTCTTTGATGAAGGCGTCTGGGATCCAAATGGAAGGGGACATTTATCTTTCAACCAGAACCCTGCTTTTTTTTTTGCCTGCCTTATAAAAAAATCGCAAACACTGTTATATATGTGCATTGTTATTTTGCCCATGTTTACAGTGTGTCAAATCCAAACAGTATTTTGGTTCACGGGGAATATGTGATATTGAAAAGATGGAAAAAGGTCAAATGTTGTGGATCAAGACAGAAAAAAAGTCCTGAAATTTCACTGAATGACATTTGCTTTTTTCCTTCTCTTCAAAAGCTTTACACATCTTCAGATCTAAAACAGACCAATCTGAGTGTCCAGCAGAGAGATCAGCCTTTCCCGCCTTCATGCCTCGATGATTTATTTATGTTAACCCCGTGTATGAGGCGAGCCTGAATGTGAATTTTCCCTGATGTTGACTGGTGTAAGCAGCATGGTTTTAAGCAGTGTAATAGCAACACCTTTTGGATTTATAACGCTGAGCCAAAGAGCTTCAGACCACGGGGAAAAAAATCCATCAGCCTGATATATGAATGGCAAGATAGCCGCAAAGGCGTTTTTAACGAGCCGTTCGTCATGCTCCTGGCTGAGGACTTAATTTAAATGTGTACCGGACCTGTCCGCTCGCTGCTGATGTGAAATTTAACCCCCTTTTAGAGGATGAGATCCCACTTTCTTGCAGACATCCGGTAATTTTCCAGTAGCTGCGGTGACGTCCAGAAGCAAGTTTGTGAGGGCATTGCGAATATTTTATACGTTTTAATAAGCTGAGAATTTTACAGGTGGTCTAGGTGACGGCGGGGGTGAGAATTATGAGCAGTCGTAATTCAGTCGGGAACCAGATGCCGTTAATTAAGCATGAAGGGTGGGTGGGACGACTGAAGGATGACATGAGGGGAAGCGTGAGCCTCGTCCGATTTGGTCAAATCTCTTCATAAATTCGGGAAAGCGAGCCGGATTGTGGCAGCATCCGGGCTGCATCATTCCATGCACTTCCATCCAACTCGTCACTATTCTCCAAATTAAACTGTTAACATGAGATGTTATCCCAGAGATGGTTACCTGTGGGACGGCACACTCATGTACTTGGTGGAGGGAAAAAATAAACAAATGTTGGAACTGGTTATCTGACTTGATGGCTTTATTTTGCTTCTTTTAAAAGGTAGACGCATTATTCGCAGTAAAATGCAAAACCCCTTCCACTAATTGTATGCACTGCCTTGCTCGAGGGACGTTTATTCCCATGTACCACATGAGTGGCACGCATGCTATATTTCCTTAAACATTTTTTCCTTAAACCATTTAGATGTCTATCATAAGCAGTGAGGTTCCGCATCATTACCTATTGCAAATTAACTTCTCTACACTCAAGGCTTTTGTATTTATTGTTGCTAGTTAGTAACTTTCAGCATGTTATAGTCTGCTTCATTTTTTAGTGAAGGTGTTGTTTCCTGTTTGTAATCTTTGCCGTTTCTTTAAATCTTAAGTCTGATAATATCTTTACTTCCGGGAGTCGAGACAAAGCCGTTCCATTCTGTCTTCCTTTGTTTGCAGACACGGTTTGACCTGTTTTCCTCCAGTAGGCTTTGGGCCGCGTGTCCTTGGCTTGTGCAGCGTCCCCCGCTCTCTGCGGTGCGCGTCTACTCACTGGCCATCGATCCGTTTGCTTTCAAGTCTTTTCTGTTCTTGTTTGTTTTGATCCAGCCGTTTTGTTGACAGACCTGCAGTAGCTGAATGCATGGAGGCCAGCACGTTGGGACTGTGATACCTGATCTTTCTCCAGGTCTTGAAATCGAGAGTGACCACCTAATGCACACATTTGAAACTGCTTTACACTGCATTTTCCTCTTGGATTTACCCTTATTTAAATGAATTATAACCACTTCTAAGCTCAGATCAGTTATAACTAACAGTGTCTTTGACCTTAAGACCTTTTCATTACCCCATGTAACATGTGGTCAGTACCATGCTATAATAATCATTAAGTCCTACTGCTGCCGTTGACGTAATCGTGATCCCTGTCCTGAGGAGTCAGTCAAGATTTGTCCTTCGGACTCCAGTCTGAAGAGATGGCTACGTGGGCCGAACCAGCAGAGGCATGTACAGGGCAATTGCCCTTAACTGAAAGCTGATTGGCCCTCGGAGTGCCCCCACCCCTGTCACTCACCCATTCAAAATACCATATCATTGGCTAAAGATAAGGTTGCCCCCTTTGTACGAATTGTGGCCCTTCAAGAATCCCAGAATCTCCCATGCCAACTGCTTGAAACTGTCATATTGTGGGTGGGGTGTAAATCAGGGTGTGTGGAAACGTGCTGCTGTAGGATGGAGAAGCACAAGGTGCTTTGCATGGTCACTGGTCCTTCTGCACATGATGTCCATTTACCATATGCATTCACCCAAAGTGACCGCAGTACAGGGAAGGATTACAATTTAGGCATGTTTCAGTGGATTTGAACCTATGCCTCTTTCACGTTGTTAGAACAATACTCTATTTGCTGAGCTGTAGGAGCTGTCTGAAGGTTTTTCCTCATGTCTTTCCAACCCCAAGCACTGCTCCCCGGGTGCTGAATTAGCTGCCCCCTGCTATGTCACGATGTCACATATGGGTTAAATGCAGAGGACACATTTCATTGTTGTGCACTGTGTGCTGTGGTGTGTCAACAATGAGACAGGAAAAAAAAAAAGATTATGCCTCAATATGGCAAAATACTGCATGTATATGAGCGTATATGTTCACATTACACATTACAGCAGTTCTTTATGTTTGACAGTTGAGTGTACATTAGCTACTGTTTACATAAGCACTTCTCACTCTGTCTTATTTTCTTTTTTTTTACGGTAGCAAAGGAAACATTTGCAAACTGACTTTTATTCCCTAGAAGAATTGAGCTTTATTTTTTAGTTTATAAACAGAACGTTAGTTTTGTTTTGCAGAGAAATTCAATGATTATTCCACCACTCCACCAGCAGAGAAGGTGAATCTTAAGTACCTCTGTCCAAACCCATTTCCAGGTTGCATAGTTAAACATGGTACACATAATTATATGTGTGGTCAAAATGAAAGATTTTACATATTTTTCATAAACTCCCTAACACATTTTTAAAAATTGTGTCAGCACAAAAGAGGCCACACAATTTGCAGCCTTTAAAAGGACCAAGTCTGGATTAATGTCCAGTGGATTATGGGATTGTTTGGGGTTTTGTTTATGTAATTTAAAAATGACGTTGTACTATACAAAAAATAGATGATATACACTGTAACTTCTCTAAACTGCTAGCTGGGTTACTATTAACATTAGCAAAGTTATTTATCTGGGGGCTTTTCCACTAAGCAGGATTTGTTGCTTAGCCAGATAACTTGTCGGATTTCAGGTCGTCTGATCATCATGTGTAAGTGGAGGAAGATAAAACCCATTTTGCCCAGACTGCCTTAAATTCAACAAGTTATACGGCTAAGCAACAAATCCTGCTTTGTGGAACACCCCCCTGGTCTGTAAATTATTCATGGAAATGTAGTTGCTTTAATCACCATGCTATCTTTGTAAATATGAGACTGAGGAATTATTCAGTCTCTGTCTGACTAATGGTTAATTGTGTTTTTGTAATTTTGGTGAATGAATTTGAGTAGAATCATTTAATCCTGAGGGGTCTTTGTTCTGATGGGCCCTAAATTGTTGCACACAAACCATTTTAAAACAGGCAGGTCCAGCCCTGCTGTGTTGTGTCATTGCTATGATGACTACCACAGGGAGGATTGTGGGACAAGTTTGATTCCTGACAGACACCCTGGTAGGGAATGTTTATAAATCTCTGAAATCCTTTCATCTCCCCCAAACAAAAATAGCCACCATATCAGCAACACTTTCTGATGATTTTCTGCGTTTCTTTTTTTTTGTTAATTAAAGCTTTTGTCTTCAGCTTAAAAACACACAGCCTAGAGCAGGGGTCTCCAACTCCAGTCCTGGAGAGCTACTATCCAGTAGACTTTCTATCCTACCTGAGTTCTGATGAGCCAGACCTGTTCCTGGTATTTACCTGAGAACAGGTTTGGTTCATCAGAAGCCAAGTAGGATAGAAAACCTACTGGATAGCAGCTCTCCAGGACTGGAGTTGGAGACGCCTGGCCTAGAGATTTTAAGAGGGATCAGGTCACAGACTATCATCCAAACTGTTGCATTTATTACACGATCCAACTGCAGGCATTTGAATACATATCGACATCAGGCCACAGTACCCTGTGAAACACTTAATTCACTGTCCAGCGCACAGATTTTCAGCTCTTGTAGTATCCTTTGAAAAATGCCAGAATTCTCTCTCTGCTTGCAGCAAAAGTGCAAAATAAAGGTACTGTCACAACTCTACCGTGTCTGCAAATTATTTCATTTTATATTCCTGTACATCAGAGGCCTGTGAACTCAGAAGTCGGTCAGTTAATCGCAAGCAGACAAGCCGGACCTCCAAACTCTGCGGGGACCTTTAACTGCGTAAATGACTCTTGTTTTTCTGAGACCTGCCTGCTTTGTTGTTGTTCCCTTTGGCGTCCTGCAGTGTTTTCTCTGTAAAATAGTTTCCCAATTCCCACAACCTCTGGTCTTCTTTGCACACTTTATTGCCTCCAAATAACCCTCAGCCTGATTGGAATCCTCATGTGCTTCTCCCACTGGCGAATGGTGCTTGCAGCCGCGCCTCTTTTGGTAAATGATCGTTTGCTTCATAACACCAAAATGTGCTCCATGGATAATTTCCTTCTCGCGCATTGCCGGAAGGTGGAGACGAAACGCGCGATTTCAGCCCTAATTTGAGCTGCTGCTAGCGGAGCGTTTACCTCCTGGAGCGAAGCCATCTGCTCGGAGACCGGGGGCCGAGCCACGCCGGTGGAAACACCGTTGACGTCACTCGCCATGATTACATTAAAGCTGTCGTCTTCTTCGGCACAACCGCTATCCTGCACTGAGCATATTTTCCCGCCATTTTAATCTTCTGTCAGACACAGTAGCACAATTCTCATACACAAACACACTCATACACTCATGCTGATGTGTGTACACACTACCCAGACAGGAGGGATCGGCAGATTACTTGAGTCACCTAAGCAATAGTCTAGTTTTCAGGTAAAACCAGGTCAATCCTACCCATTAACACAATGATGCAAGCTTGTTAGCGGGAGTGTGAGAAATCGACTAAGATGTCACCATAAACAGACCGATTTGAAAAGACTAAATTGGGTTTAATGTGAAATTAAGAGAACAATGGAAAAAAAATGCATTCAACAGTCTCATTATAAGCACAGAAGGAATTTCACATCCAGGCTTGGGTGTCATGTGACCTCCGGTGGTTTTCCCGGTTTTCGTGTTTGGGGGCACTATGCTCGGGAAGGCTGGGGGGGGTGACAGGCACTCGTTACATTTGGGGGGATCATCGCGACCCTCCTTCCCGGCGATGAGCTATCCAATCAGACGAAAGAAAGAGAGAGAGGCTGGGACACGTCGATCAATCGCCGGAGCCTGAGGAGACGTTACTTCTTCTCTGGGGTTGAGAAGACCTGCTCGTAGGGCGGGGGTGAGTGGTTGCAGTAGGATGGGGGAGGCGGGTAAGAAGCCATCATGTGGGCGGAGCTTGGCTGCACCTGGTAGGCGGGGGCCAGGGGTGGTACCATGACGTTGCTTGGGTCACCGTAGGTCTGCATCCCAGGAGGCTGTGACCCTGTGTGCCCCCCCCCAAAAAAAAACAGCCAGTCAACAAGCACACAAACCTCAGGGAACACAACATCATCAAGCAGATGCTCTTCAGCGAATGAGAATAACTGGGTCGTCACAATGTGAACGGTTTCCAGGTTACTTCCTGCCTTTTGACAGGAAGTAGGAGATGTAGCTTACAAGACAGAGTGCTGACTAAGAGCAGCCTGGGGCAACAGGGATGGGTGCTTTAGCACATGCTAAGCTAATTGGTCTCTAGTAGGCAAGTAATGATTCACTCAGTTCACCATTTGGTTCGATTCACAATATTGGGCTCATGATTTTCACCCACAATGTTTTTGGGAAAAAAAAATAAAAAATTACATTTTCCTACTCTATCTACGGCTACGTAAATATTCCTTTTGTTAAATTAAAAAAATACTTCCATTTAAATTTCTTAACCAACAATAATTATTTACAAACAGTTGTAAAGGTTGGCATAAAATAACCTATTAACCAAAATATTTCTTTTATTAAAAATTAGTAAGTTAATATCAGATAGATCTTTTCTTAACCATTTTGCCACAGTGTCAGTTCCACGGGTTGCATTAGCTGTTTGCACCTTCTGCTGTCTAAACAATGCAAAGACAGCCAGGAAAAAGGAAGAGATCATGCAGCCTAATAATTGCGATTCATTTTTATTTCCTTGATTCGAATCATCATAAATTTGTACTGTGGTTTATTGTTGCACAATGTCATTACATGCCTAGTCGCTAGTCAAAATAAAGTGCGGTACCACATTTTGTTTTCCAGTCGTGTATCTTAGATGCTTCCACAAGAGTGGGAATATATGAACATCGAAGTTAAGATTAAAGCAACCAATAGACCGCTTAATGCACAATGACCCTCGCTTGGTTTTTTACAAAGGAAATCTGCGGTTAAACGAATGATGGCTAATTGCATAATGATGTCCAAAACATACAAACATACAAACATAGTTGCTATCAAGTCCTGAAATATGAAAACATAGCAAACTGGAACTGTGGCAGTAGAAGAGAAAATTAGCAAGAAAATAAATGAGTAAATCAGTGTATATCTATCCATCCATCGAACTGCATTCCGAGATCTTTAATGTGGGTGAGAATTGCGATCTGTATAATTTTCTGTATTCATTTTCATAAGCTGACAATCTTTGGCCAATGTCAGCACACGTGCTGCATTAAGGCTTAAGCTGTACGTATCCATCAAAAATAGGTAAGACATACATAAAAAACAGATAGTGGATGTATATAGTAGGAAGGTAGAAAGATTATTATTATTCAAGCTATAAAACAACATGCCGTTGAAAGGCAATCTGAAAACTATAATCAGATATCTACCGTGAACTAAACCCTACGCATGCTGAACACATGGTGGCGCCATCCTCCCAGCTGATCCTTTATATAACATCCTAATGAGTCAATTAGTTTAATCAGGGTCACCTGGGTTTTGTTAACACTGCGTGGCAGCCTGGTGATCAGTTGTCATGGGAACACCAGCGGTTACCTGTATCCAGCTCCATGCAATTTCTCTACCTCTCACAGGCTCACAATATATCTATCCATCTACCCATCAATCACCTTCTGAGACCTTTCATCTGGGTTAGAATTGCGGTCTATATAATTTTCTGTATTAATTGGCCCATGCATGATTTTTGTTTTCTTCCGTTATGTAGTTCATTGACAAGAAATTTTAAGCCTTTAAGGCTTAACCATCCATATCCATCAAAAATAAATAAGAAATACACCTTTATTTCTAATAGGGAGTCATTTCAGAGTTAACGATAGGTATGTATAGATATATTAAACATAGACTGGCAATTACATTACGACCAAAGAGCATTCCCTTTAAATCAGACCTTTTACATTAGGGCTTTGAAAGTTTCTCATAGTTGGACCAACAACACACACAAAAATAGTGTCACAAGGTGATGGTGGAGTACTTCAGCTCACAGTCTGCTGCCTGCATCTGTCCATCTGCTCACGCTGTCATGCGAGCGCCATCGTGCAGCACTTTTTTTTTTTCCACTGCTGAAGAGCAACAAGTAACAAGCCAACGTAAGGCATCCACAGTAAATGGTTATAGACGGTTAGAAAAGTACTTGTGGGTTATTTTTCCTTCCACTGCGTTTTGACGGCAAATTCAGCTATAGGCTTCACAATGCTTATCCAGGACTGAATTAGGGCAGAAAAAAATTATGCTGTATCAATGAGGGGGAAAAAACTGGGCCCCATACAGCTCAAGGCCCTGGACAAGAGGCTTTTCCATCTTAGCCTCTACATAAGCACAGGTGGGGCATCCACTAGAGATTTTGGGCCCCATGGAAACATACAGTATCATATTGGGCCCCTGGGGCACCTTGGTCCTAACCCGCCCCCCCCTTTTTGGTGTCCTTGAGTTCAAGCACGAAAAAAACAAACTTTGCCTAACTTTGCACAAGTGAATTTGGCCTGGGTAAAGCTGTCTTTAAAGCATCGTTCAAAGGTGTTTCCCTGTTTACTTTTTGAAACATGCCGTCAAGTTCGCGCCCAATCAGTGTGTTTGAAACCCAGGAAGCTGGAGCCCCCCAAGCCTAAATAGAAGCGGGGATGCCTTTCTGACAAATGGCAGCATTTGTGACCCGGGGAGTAAGCGCCGCTAGAGTCATTAGCGCCGTCTTTCGATACCCTGGGCCTGAGCTTGGCTTGTTAACTCGTTAGCGGGGAGGTGGACAGACAGTGTCAGCTGTGTTAAATCATTCCTGATTGAGAGGTCACGGTACGACAAGGGGTTACTCGCCCCTGCTGTCCCTCACCAGAAAAACAAAGTATAATTGACTTAATGGGTGCTGAAGAGCAGTAGCAGAGGATGGAAGGCTGCCATAGTGGATGGGGAACCTTAAATGGGCAATCTCCCTGGCATGGCATCTCCCCGCCCCTGAGAGCGGTGGGGTGCTGTCAGTTTGCTCAGCTGGATGTCAATCAGCAATTACAGCCAATCCCCTCGAGGACACATCACTTTGACTACTCTCTCTCTCTGCCATACTCCCCGAAGGGTGTTTTGAGTTCTGCCTGCTGTTGACATGCAGACAGTCTTCCGTTTGCCTTGCCAAAAACGTCCTCGAGAATTTCAGCCGTAATGACACGTCACTGGCACGCGTGACATACTGGAATTCATATGCATTTATAATCACCACGAATAACACTGGCGATTCTTAAAGTTGGGACTTGTCAGTGTAATACCGGGCACTAATAAATCATTTTGTATATAATTGTATTAATCAACTACAAGCAAATGTACCCTGAGCTAATTCAGTGTATTCTTCAGATTTTAAAACTTAAAAAAAATTGATAGAAAAAAACAAAAAAAAACAAACCTAAGTCCATCAAGCAATTTTCTACATGACTAACTGTTATAATTAAAGTTATAATTAAAGTCAGACTAGAAACAAGAGAAATCTGCCAGGCTCCTGTTTTCCTACAGGAGGATCGTAAGAAAGGCTGAGATCCCTAAAGCAGAAGTGGGATTGCAGAACCATCTGATCGTGGCAGTTTTTTTTATTGCATTTTTTCCTCTGGAGTATTACACTTATTCAGAGGTAATATTAACAAGTGTTCCTGAGCCACTGAAAGTGCTGAAGCAGGAAAATATGAATCCCTTTTTTTTAGTGTGTCCCCCCCCGCCCCCCCCCCCCCCAAAAAAAAAATAGTCACTGCATTTCAGGCACGGCACCCAGACTGGACTATCCATCACAACAGACGATGTGCGAAGTAGTAAGTAAGCTGATGGGATTTGGGCCTGCTCGAACCCGGAGCCGTGCCAGTATATGAGGAGGAGAGGGGGACTATTGCTTGGGTGGCTGCGGTGACAGGCAAAGGATCGTCACTAGGGCTATTTTAGGGAGACTTTAGCGACCCCCCCCCAAATAAATTAATTAGTTGAAATCAGTGGTCTAAACCCATGTGGCACCATAGTCAAGCTTCACTACCAGTGCCTCCCCCACCAAGCTGTGGTTAACTTTATTGTGGGGGGGGGCGGGGGGGCAGTTTGGTGCTCACAGTTAGCTAAATTGGTGCCCGCTCAGTGGTCCAGAAATTGCCCACCTTGCCCTTGCCAGGATCTGCCACTGGTTTAAATGCTGAGTTCCCCTTCACATTCAGTAAAATCAGAACCCCCCCAGTACAGGCATAACCCCCCTTTTCATAAATTTCCAGGGTTTCTAGGGAGAGGGGGGGGCGCTGGAGGAGCTGCCAAGTGCAGGGAAAGACGCTCATCGCTGATGGCAGACAGAGGATCAGTCTGCACATGGATATGACTGAAATGCTAATACTGCGTTCACACATCCTTCTCCAGTTCCTCAGCATCTTCCCAGCACTACATCCTGGTGCCTCACACAGCAGCACAGATAAATACACCGGTGGGTACGGTAGGAGGCTACAGCTCGCTCTGCTGTCTTGGTTTACCTCTATCCTCCTTAAAGATGGATAATCCGGATGGGGATCGTGATTAGTTTAGCCAATGGGATGCAATTACAAGCTTTAATCACTGTGTTTACATTTATATAACAGGATTATCCTGATAACAGGATTATGAGTATTTAAATTTTTTTCTATCTGTTTGACTTTCCCCTGGATAGTCTTCAGGGAGAATAGGTTATTCTCTTTGGCTGTGAAAGTTTTGACATGACAGTCACATCGGGAACTCATTGTGATTTTTGGAGAATGCAGGTTAACTTTCTTCAGAAATATTTTTCTTTTTAAAAGCAGTGAAGGTTTGACTTGGGTTTGTAAGCCACAGGGAAGCAGGCAAACCACTTTTGTAAGTCTCAGTGTGACAGTTTTTTAGTCCTAAGGACCAGTGCCTTTCCTGCAGAAAATACACACTGTTACAGTATAAACCACTGATACTTTTCGTACACATGTCCTGCATTTAATCCATATCAACTATGCAACCCAAATGCATAACTCAAGGAGGGTATAAAGGCAGGAGAAGTGGTGCTGCGAGCATTAA